GAAATTGGAAAGAATGAATGCTTACGTTTCTAAATAGAAGGCAAATTGGTCGTGATGTTTAATTTTCTTTATATAAAATTTTCTTTTGTCTTGGGGCAGGCTTGAGAAATTAATTTGTAACATAATTAGTTTTTGCGTCCAACTTGATCATGTTCTGTAAGTTTAATCTAAAACTTTAATTTTTGACTTGATCTTGACGTATTTGATGTCATTTAGGATTTTACAAATTTTGCATTGATAAGATTCGAACCTACGACTTTCGAGCTGCAATCTCTAATTTAAACCAATTCTCTTGCCAATTACTCCACTGAGCCACTTAACTGCTCGTAATAGTTCGAAAAAACTTAACCACTTAAATTCTTCTATCTCTAAACTAATTACTTCTAAAATTTAGCTCTCAAAATACACCTCAGACGTCATCTGTAGTAAAACTTTTAAACTAACAATTATTTCTGTCTTGACTTTTTCATTCCATTTTCTTTCTTTTTTTCCACGAGGAGAATAGAAATTAAAAGATCCCCCAAAGATATAGAGCATGAAAGAAAGAGGATATAATAGAAAAAAAATGAAATTTCCTTTTCTCATCATCTACGTCGCTGCCTGAATTTTTCTTCACTTCTTTATTCACCATTTTTACGACTTTTAAATTTTTGCTGATTAAAATTAATCCAATTAACTTAATAAACAAGAACGAAAACAGAAAACGAGACGAAACAGTTAAAGCAATTTTTAAGTTTTGCTTCTTTCATTTTCCTACTGTCCGGATGGAGAAATAATCGGCGAAGCATATTTTTCATCATTGCAAATTGCCATCCTTTTTACAGAATCTGTTTCTTCTTTGTCTTGCTCATTTTCTCAGCTATGAAACATACAAACATAAAATGCTTGACTTGATAAGAAGAAAGGAGAGGCAAAAAAGGAGTCGTGGAGAAAAATGTATATATTAAAAAATTCCAAAAGCCAGAAAAAGAGCACAGAAAATATTTCACATGATGCTATCATATCATATTAGTGCTACTCGAAGGCAAACTGATCAAGAGCGAATGAAGGAAATGAGTGTGGAAATGTGTTTGTTATGTGGAGTTGATAGACGCATGTTGGAGGAAATTGTCGCTTTATTGAGGCTAGGAAATGAAAAGCAATAGGCTGTAGAAGTTTTAGGATTTTATGTTTGAGTATGAGGCGTCTATGGGTGAAAGATTCAGTGCTTAATGCATCACATGATTTAAGGCTTTATAAAAAAGTTGATTTAACTCTCGATGAATACTTTGTTCTTGATAGAGAAGGGTTCAATGTGTTCCAGACCCTTTAAGATTCGTTACAAATGACGTTCAACATATTGAGGGAGGGGGTCTGGAGCTTTTGAATCAAGAGGGTACCACTTTCATTATCAAACAGAAATAAACCAAGAAATTCGATTATAAGAGCTTTTTGAACCCCCGGTCCCTCATACTGTGATATAATTTTTGAACAGCTCCTTACCATGAATTTTAAATGGGTTAAAAATAATACAAATTTTCGATAAGTTTGTCATAATATTATTCGACAGACAAAATGCCCTTATGACCACAAACATCATCCTCAAAATTCCTGCGCAAAAAGGATGACAATATCATAATGAAAGGCAACAACAAGGATCAAGAGTTGAAGAGGATTTTCCTATAGTTAATGGTCTAAATCCCAATCATTTCTTCATCATTTAATTCCTTTTCTATGAACCATTTTCCTTTTCATTCTCATCCCATCCCCATGTCAAAGCAATAAACTTTATTTTGTCTTAATGAATTTAAATCTCTCAATCTCCAAATTTTTGTATAATTTCTTATTTGCCCACTTAGTAACTGAGTAAAAGGATGTGGATTATGATAAGAAAAAAATAATGCTTTCAATTGGTGAAAATTTATGACATGAAAATATTTTTAATGGGTCAAAAATTTGCCATTCCAAAGGAAGAGAAAAGAAGAGATTTAAGTAAAAAGAAAATTGAAATTTTATTATGCAGATTATGCGGAATTGAGAATGATTTTCAAAATTATAATTTATTGAGATAAATGTTCTGCTTATTTAAACATTAATTCGCATAATTTCAACCATAAAATTGTTTGGATACTAGTTGGAGATGCTCGTAAATAATGGATAGTTAAGGAATATCCTCTGATATATCTGTAGTCATGATTGTTGAGATGTTCGATTAATTTATTATAAAATTTTTACTTATAAGTACTTAACCATTGTTTTACTTAGCGTTAAGAAATTCTGGCAGTTCCAAAAAGAACGAGGAAAGGTTCCTTTATCCTTGTGGTTGTTGATCGTCATTTGTAGTTTTCTATTTGGTCAAAATCACTTGCAGAATCTCTACTAAACCTTAAATGCGGTTTTCAATTTGACAATATCAGACATTCCATAACCTCCAAATATCTAAATGCAAAATAATCCACAACTATACTAATCTAATAACCAAATAAACCAACAGTGAAAATAATACAAACGTACTTGAATTCATAATTACACTCATAAGTACTTATCATCATAATCATTACTTAAAGCTGAAGAATTCTACAAGACAATTTTCCACTAAAGTGATTTGAAAAAAGGCACTAAAAACAACGACGATGAGGATGTTGTTGATGATGATGAAGATAAAGATGAATAAGACTTGATAGAGCATTTATTCATTCATATGAAAACGAGTGTTCACACAGAGTTGAGTCAATAATGCAATGTATGAGCGCAATGATCTAGTTTTGTGTTTGCCTCGAGCGTTTTTTTCCCTGTGTATATTTTTTAAAAATATATCTATCCACATCAAAAAAGGAAGTATACATAAAAGGCGACTTGTTATGCTTGTTGATCATTCTCAATGTTCAATGTTTTATTGCATCTGACTGAGAAAAACATTCGAGCAATGCTGAACAGCACGCGAGAGAGAAAATGTGCGACTCTCTCTTCATCGTTGCACAAAATACACACATTTGACTGTAAAACTTCATTTCACTTCTTTTATCATGCTTGATTCTCGACTGCCTTTTGGCAGAAAACATACAGAAAATATAATTCAGTCAAAATTTTGCTCTAGCGCGAGACAGTCAAGTAAAAATTTTCGTACTTCACTATTTAACGTTGGACACAAATCGTGTTGGTGCTGTCCAAAAACTAATATTTGATAGATTTTTTGAACAATATTTTTTACATAAATTTCTGAAATTTACATACATGCACAGTAAATTAAATTAGCAGCTCACAAACTACAAATTATTGTGCAATTTTTTTCTGTAATTAATTAATTATCGTAAATGATTAGTAAGGAACAAAAAATATATTTCGCGTAATTATTTAAATTTCATCGCGCGCACGGTGGATGTAATTTGAATTGTCGGAGGCAGCAATAGCGAAAGAAAAAGATCACGGCATTTGGTGAAAATAACAAGGACTAACATTAACGCATTACATATTATTAGGTGATTATTCATACATTCCATTACAATACAGTTGAACAATTTTGAATGGAATAGACGTAAAAAGGAGTGAAAATTACGCACAAATAAAAAAAGAATAAAGAAGAAAATCGAAAGTGAAATGTGAACGAAATCGTTAATTTCTCATCAAAAAAAAAAAAAAAAGAAAAACCACAAAAAGCAAGTTGATTAAAAGTTCTGTGAGTTTTAATATTCGAAACTTGATAGATGAGTTGAAGGCTCAATAAAGGCAACACATGTGTGTACATTAAACCATATAGCGAATAAATTATTTAACGAAATCGATATAATTTTTTTTCTCTTCTCTAACAATAAGCTTCAACCCTTAACCATACACAACGGTGTGTATTTTGTAAGAAAGGAGAAAAATTTTGTATAGAAATGCTTATAAGCTAGTTAAATGTTAGCGCATTTATTCTTTGAATGGATTTTTAGATTTATTGAGTGGGAATTTTTGTGGTTCTTTGTAAATTTTAGAATCTGAGTTTGTCAAAATCAAAACTTCTTAAACTTGAGCCTTAATGGTTTGCAAACAGTTATATTTAATTAAAATTACGAAATTGAATTTTAGTTATCAATCCTTTCTGAGAAGGAACAAGAAGTGATGTTAATTGAAATAAGTAAATTAATTAAGTTGAATCTTAGGTTAGTTATTCAAGTGTGTTTCTCGGTAATTTTTTCAAAAAGGTGGAATTTTAAGTGACTTTTGTGAAACAAATTAAATTAAATTTTTTGTTGCCTTTCAGTCATAGATATAAGGTTTGAAATAGCTACTTATATGTGGCAGATTAAATGAATGAACAAAAAAAATAATAATTTCAAATTTTAAGCAGTCAAAGATGAATTTTTCTTGGAAATAATTCAGCAAAAATTAAGCCGAAATATTAATTTGCAATATTTTGTGTAGATAGAAAATGTTTCTTAATAACTTATTTAAAATGAAAACAAATTAAGCTAGCATTTGATTTAAAAGCGATTTCTGTATCTTATAAATGTTTTTGAAATTGTAAGAAGATTAGTTTCTTTTACAATTCTAAAATAATGGCAATTAAGTGGGTTAACCATCTGCTAGATTTTTCTGAAAACAGTTTTACATTCTTATGATTTTTCTATAAAATTAATTCGTCCAGAAAACGAATTAAACTAGTAAAAATGCTACTAGAAAATTAAACAAAATGAAAATTAAAGTTTTGTAATATCCTGCTTTGCGTAGGCGAGTAGTAGCGCTCGACAACCCACGAGAATTCACAGTAAATTATAATGATGTTGTTAAAATCGCTATAGTGTGTCTAATTTCCATATCAAAGGGATACTTAATTATAATTGCGCAAAAAATTAACGCAACAAAAATTCGTGTCAACAAGCAAACCAAAATTTTGTTGGTCAAGGAATTATTTTAATAAATTTCAACCAGTTTGGTCACGAATAATCTTTAAAATTCCAAACAAAACCCCTCAATATAATTCATTACCCTTTACCGAGATAAAATGCGCTAAACAAAAGAATTTTAAAAAAAAATAGGTAAACTCACATCGCAGAAGGGAAAGCTCACAAGAATTGTAAAATTTTACCATAGAGAACGAAAGAAGAGACCTTTTTCTTTACAAATTCTCAAAACGTTCTAACGACTTTGCGGTTGAATTAATCATTGATAAAATGCAATACGGAGTGAATGTTAAAAAGTAAAATATCTAAAAAGAAATAACAAAAGAGAATCGAAACGGAATCGAAATTTGAAATTGGAAAAAAAAGAATAGAAGAGAGAGAGAGGAGTCATTGAAGCGTAGAGAACCAAAATACACATACACACACTCTAGAGAAGAAAAAAAGTTCTTAATAAGTTTCTTTAATATAAAAAGTTTTTAAGTTATAAGGAAACCTGTAAAAAAAGTCACATAGAAATTGTTGATGTGGTAAAGAAGAAGTAAAAAGGGATGGAAAATATCTATGATATCATGGTTCAGTGACAAAATCAAAGTGTATATAAAGATATCAAAATAACAAGAAAAAAAAATATTTACAAGCTAATAATATGGATACAACCAATATATTGATTACACTTCTCCTCATTATACCTGGTAAGTTTATTCATTCAATATTCTACGTCTGAAAGATCCTTGGAATAAATTTGTCGGAGATTTTCTTTCTTTTTGTGAGGATTTTTTATTATTATTATTATTGTGAGGATTTTGTGAATATTGTTTGAGTTCTGCTTTGATAAAGAGATAAAAATGGGTCAGGTCTAGTCATTTGACATTGTTTTGGAGTTTGAAAGTAAATTTTTAACCTGTTGCTTGATTTTCTACCATTTTTTTGTGAATAAGGAAGCAATACATTTGGGAAATTACGAAATTCTTTATGAATTTCAGTCCAGTGCATAAAAAGCACTCATCACAACAGTTTCATTTTTTTTAAATTCAACAAAATTGGAATTTAAGACCTTAATACAAGCCAATGCTAGCAAACGGAAATTTTTAAGTTCTTATTATTCGAACTTCGAATTTTTGAGGTTCTTATTTTTCGAAAATCGAATCTTCGAAGTTCTTATTTTTAAAAAAATTCGTTGCGAATTATTATTTTTCGAGTAATTTGTAATTTTAGTGAACATTCCTACTAGTTTTTATGATTAAGATAAACACTGTGATGAAATTGCATTCCTTAAATGTTTATGCTTTAAAAAACAGCTAGTTTAAAAAAAAATAAAAAGGAACGGACTTTCTTATTTTGTTTGTAACGGACTCTGTTCTCTTTGCTAACATTGGAATACAAGGTTCCATCCAAAATCGTTTATTCTTAGTGTTAAATAGAAAATAGATAAACTCTGAATAACAGATCCCAAGCGGGACTCTAACCCACGTCCAACGATTTCCGAACACATGCTCCCTACCATTAAGCTATCGGGAGTTATCAGACTTTATGGCTAAATGCCATTTATAAGTTACACACTTGAATGTCTCTCCTTTTTCCGCCTGATGAACTAATTCTTGTCATTGTCAATGGCACAACAATCATGTCTCAACAATCTTAGGTCCATAAAAGTGTAAAAGTAGCATTTATTTATATATAGTTTTGGTATCCCATTCCGAGCAAATCAATTACTCAATTCGCACAATAAATTCTCAATTATCGATTCAACCTGATTCACTCAGAAATTCCAAATCAATTAGAATCAATGACAAAAAAAAAATATTTAATCAACTAGACAGATCCACAAACCTCGAAAAAAATTAACGCCCATTGAAAATAAAGCAATTTCACAGAAAAGAACTCAATTAATTTTCCACAGACACGCAACATTTGTCTCAAAACAATTTAATTCCTATTAACACTCCGATACATAATCAGAAATTCTTAAAAAATTCCACCCTCAAGAAAAAAGAATTCCGACAAATTTTATCCAAGGAACATAGCACAAATTGCTATATAATATGAGATTATGAAGTGAGTATAGATGTCGAACGTTAGCTATTTTTACGGGTTAACAGACGACGACGGATGTTAATTAAGTAGCCGTATTTGATTTAATGACCTCAACATGCCCTAACGTAATAATAAGGTTAATTGAGTGCAAACGCAAAAAAATATGAAGAATGGCTCTTTCAACACAGTCAGTCTGCTTCTCGTTCTCAAAACTTTTCTCGTTTGCCTTTTTTCCAAGCAGAAAGGAGTAATTTTTTTTATTTCTCTCAACGACTGTTCAACACAAGTTGAGAATTAATTCCTTTTTATTTATCGTAAAATAAATAAAAGGCAATGCATAAAAATAATATTTTTAACGTTATGAAACGTCAGGCAATGCACAATTTAGAGATGCAAATAATTTTTTTTTTCACTCTTTAAATTGTTTTAATAAAACTGAATGTTTTGACAACTGTTCATTAAGCTGGCGAGTCGGATTGTTTTTGTTGAATAAAATTCAATTGAGGAATAATTACTGAATTTTCGATTGATAAGGTTGGGTTCTGTGTGGTTATATGAATTGGAAAATATTGACTTTGAATTTTTGTAGATTTTTTGTATTTTTTGCAATTTTGTTGAAAGTTTTAAAAAAGTTTTTATGGGAGCTTTAACCAAATAAAATCTTGGTCATACGACCTTCTCCCATCAATACACTGCTTTGGTATTAAACTTAGTTTCTCGTTCAAGTGTGATTAAGCTGTAACTTTTGCAATCAAATAATATTAAAGATTGTTTCTGAGTGTTTTAAAATTATCAATTTAATTGACCTGCTCTGCTAAAGTTCATTAAAAAATTGATAATTAAAGATTTGTTTCCAAGATTTTCGATTCGATTCCGGATGTTGCTGAATTGATTTTTTAATTTGACTAGTTTTAACCTTGGTAATTAAACCTTAATAATCTGGAACAACTGCATCAAAAACCAAACACAGAAACTGTTTATTCCCTAAACCTTGATCATTGAAACTTTAATTCTCCAACAAAAAAAATCCCAACTCATGAGTACAATTAAGGAGAATAAATTCCAGACTTCATGCTTTACAAAACTTATCAATTAATTAACTTTTTACAATAAAGTCTAGAGCAAATGCAGATCATAAGTAAGTTTCATTACACAAAAAAAAAATCTCCTAATTTTCACTGAGAAGTTTTTTACTGCCAGACTGAAAGAGTTCTCGTTGGACATTATAAAACCGAAATACCCACATCGTTTCAGCTTCTCCCCGTACGACTCGAATATTTCATGAACTGTAAATGAGTATATTTCCAAGCCAACAATTCTGCCATGCTTCACATTTGAAACATAGATTGACTGAGAAAAAGAGCTGTGAAGCAAACATTACGATTCTTAAGTGGCTTAATGAAATTTTAAAAAATTTCGTAAATTTAATCGACGAATGAAAAGTTTTTTTTTTCACTATTGTGAGTGCTCTAAATAGAATTTTAACAACATCAAAATAGAGAGCGAATGGAGAGACGAGAAAAGTAAAAAGTTATTCTCGTGTTAGCTTTTAGTTTCAGAAAGAAAAAGCTAGTAAAGTCGGGGAGTCGTTTTTGGCTAAGTATGACGCTTTTTTTGTACGGAGCGAATGTTCTAAGACTCAATTTAAAAGCCTTAAAAGGCAAAAGTTCAAAGGTACAGGAGAATATTGAGTTAAGAATATCTCAAGCTAATCACCGAATGTGGTGATGTGGCGATGTGGTGTCATCTGCTTATCTCACTTGCGTATGATTTATATCTTAACTAAGCACTAAACTAATAGATCCGACCCCGAATTTCCCTCAAGACTTTCTCATAAACCATCTCTTATTTATGACTTTTAACTCAATTATTAACTTTGTAGGAAACAAGAAGTTTCATCCCAAAACCATTCATAAATTCCCAAACCAATCAATGGACATCGAGACCAATATCCACTAAATCACTCATCCCATCATCTCTCAATTTTCATCACCAAAATAAAAACTTTTTCTGCTAGTTTGTGCAAGACACTTTTTTCGGACTAAATCTCAAATGGCAAGCACGTATCCAACAGCAGCAGCAAAAGCAATGAAAGTAACACTTTTTTGCTGTTAAGTGTTTGTGTGCATGATGCCAAAAAATTTATATAAAACCATTCTTCCCTCATTCTACGCCACCTTCTCACTCACTATGCAAATATCCAATGTCATTTAATGCGAAAAAAGCATTCTCATGTTGAAATGATTTTAAGCTTTTCGAATTTGTAAAATTCAATTAAAAGCACAAAATGCTTCGTTTTTTTTATTTTTTCTCATGCTGGCACGCTTTAGGGCGAGTAGAGGGAAAGGTTATAATCCTAATTGAAACGGTAAAAGCTGCTTTTAGCAGTAAACATTTAAAATCATTAAAAGTTCTTCTTTCATGTCCAATTTTCTCCTTCGTGCAATTTTTTTTTTTGTTCTGTCTTTTCTTTCTCACTCATTGGCCCCAAAGTAGTCGTTTCATTCAATTTATTTCGCATCTCAAATGAACGATCAGACAAAAAAAGAAAGAGACACTTATAAAGAAACTTCTTCATCTTTTCATTTGAGTCACCATCTCATCCAGCAAGCAGTGAGTCGATTAATTGGCTTACAAATGTATTTCATCACGTCTTGCTCATCGTTTTATTTTTTGACTGTCTCTTTTACTTTTAATTATTTCTTTATCATAGTAAATGTTTGTAGCCAAACATGCTTCACAGCGCGGAGCTCTTCCCCTTGAAAAAATAAACAAAAAATTGAAATGATGACTGTATCAGTCAGAGCGAGTAATTAAAATTTAATTGAATTAAATCGACTGCGTGCGAGCTCACTGCTCGATAAAAAAAATTATTAACGTACGTTGGATAGACTCTCTCTTTTGTAATGAATGAAAGGGACTTGGTGAGATCAAAATAATTGAGATAACATTAATTTTTTGTTCGGTGTGAAATGAAAAAAAAAAAAAAATAAGAAGAAATTGTTGAACTTGAAGAAACAGGGTTGGTAATACTGTTTTAAGTAATGTTTTTCTTATCTCTGTGAGCACATCGTGATATCTGACCAAAGAGAACATAAGTCATAGGCATACGGGGTTGTTTGGGGTTCCTACCTTCCCCTGCTGTTTTGAAAAAAATACTTTAATTTGCTAGGGTTTTTTGAGATAAAGTACCAATAAATTTTAAATTTCTGGCCACGTGGCCTATGGGGCAAAATGAAAAAAAAAGGGACTTTCACTTTGAAAAATGGACTTTTCCGATTTACACTTTTTGGGTGATTTTTTCTTGTAGAGGACATAAAAGTAGATAGAAATGCCAAATTTCAGGTCATTTGGTGCTGATTTCGCGATTCTAGAGCTGTTTGAAGTTGAAAACTAGTGAAAATTCTGGTTTTTTCATACCATGTTTGAACCGGGAAATATCTTAACTGGTTTAAGATATTGCAAAACGGTTTTCAGTTCCTATTAGTAGTATATAAGAGCTTTATTTTGACATATAACAAAGTTTAGGTTCTGAATGTTTTCGTGCCATTATGGTAGAACATATGTGAAAATTTCAGGAAAATTATCTTCAAACAAGCCGCAACTATCATAAATGAAGAGTTTCCAGGCAAGTAAAAACGCAGTTTTGTAGCCCCAT